AAGGGTCCAGACCCAAAACGTCAGCTTTCCTGCTCCTCTGATGCTGCCTGGCCTGCTGTGTTCATCCAGCTCTACACCTTGTTATCTCAATCTTTAGTCTGTACTGCTTCAGCTGACAATGAGGAGGCAGTAGAACTGTTGTTGGGATAAAAAAAGATCGAACCTCCCTCCATTTCATCAAATGAGTCTCATAGTAAAGTGCATCTTTATCAATCTTTTGCAGAATATACAGTTCAGAAACAGGCCATTCAGCCCATTTGCTACATGCCACTGAGTGTCTCACGAGAAACCAAGAAATAGGAGCAGGAGGACACCATTCAGCCCATCGAGCCTGCACTGTTATTCAATATGGTCATGGATGATTTGAGGGTTCATCTGCCCTTTCCCATCCTCTCCCCCATTTCTCGATTCCCTGGGACCAAAGCCCTTCCTGTCCTGACCTCAAAAACACCCAACGACAGAGCATCAACAACACTTTGAGATACAGTTTTGGATTCACAACCCTTTAAATGAAGAAATTTCTCTTTATCATTTATCTTAAGACAGTGCCCAGCCCCCCACCCTGCTTTAGATTTCCCTTATTCACAGAAACAATCTCATCTCTACTTAATACAAATTATTATTTATTGCAAATAAATTGATTCTTATTACATGTAAACAATAATGAACTGTCAGCATATACCTCCACCAGTTAAAACCCTATTCCCCTCCCCCCCATTATAAAGTCCCCCATTCCACACAAATAGACTTACAGGCAGGTTAACAAAAACAGAAATTGCTGGAATAGCTCAATTGGTCTGGCAGCATCTGGAGTTCTGTGGAAGGGTTACTTGACCCAAAGCATTAACTCTGATATCATAGAATCCCTACAGTGTGGAAGAAGGCCATTCAGCCCATCAGGTCCTCAACAGCCCCTGACCCAGACCCTCTCCCTATAACTCTGTACTTCCCATAGCTAATCCACACATGCCTGGACATAATGGGCAATTTAGCGTGGCCAATCCACCTAGCCTACATACCTTTGGACTGTGGGAGGAAACCGGAGCTCCCGGAGGAAACCCACGCAGACACGGGGAGAATGTGGAAACTCCACACAGACAGTCACCTGAGGGTGGAATTGAACCTCAGTCCCTGGTGCTAACCACTGAGCCACTGTACCGCCAGACTTGCTGAGCTTTTCCAGCAATTTCTATTTTGTATCTGATTCACAGCATCCACAGTTCTTTCAGTTAAAAAAAAAGACATGGGTGTGATGGGTGGAAGGGAAGACTGGGAAGGCAGTTCTATAGTCCCTGTTCACAGGGTTCTCTAAGATGGTCCTTTTGTCTTGTCAGAACATGCGGTTCCTTGATTCTCTTTCTCTAATTACTTTTACTTCCCTGCAGAAGGCACAGGGTGGCTGGTTCATATTTAGAAAGGCTCTGGCTTATTGGTTAAGAGCCACAGTTTACACTGACTGCTGAGGCAAAATATATCGGCTTTCATCAGGCTTAAGATGGTTTTTACTCTAAAGAAAAGGGACAGTACAAGGATGCAGAAGTGTTGCTACAGTTACAAAAATCCTGGTTAGGCCCCACTTGGAGCAGATCTGGGCAACACACCTTGGGAAGGATAGAATAGAATAGAACAGAATAGAATAGAATATTCTTTATTATCACGTGTTCTCCAGTACAAAAGTACAGGAATATAGTGAAAAGTTTTTACAATGCTGCCTCTAATGGCACCATCTTAGGTACAAGTACCCAGATAGGCTGACCTTTGAGGGAGTACAATGTGGATTTACAAGAATGATACCTGGATTTCAGGGGTTAAGTTATGAGGAGAGATTATAAGAATTAGGCCTGCTTTCTGTGGAACTTAGAAGGTTAAGGGGTGATCTGATTGAAGTCTACAAGTTATTAACAGGAAAGGCAAGGTGGATAAAGTTAATCTATTTCCACTGGTTGGGGATTCTTCACTGGGGTCACCAATCCTCCTGAATTAACTTGCATTCTCCAAGACTGAAGAATTAATCCCCTGGATAACGAAGGGATAAAGAAATAAAGGGGGAGTTTAAAAAATAGTATTTTGTTAATGGTTTCCTTCAAATGATTATATTTATTAGTTACAAATCTGTTGGAGTTGGGGTATTTTTTGAACGAAGGGGTTTGATTGAGCCGGATGATCGGAGGCAGAGATGAAATCTCCAGGAACACGTCTAATCAGAATTGGTAATCCTGCTCTCTACCTTCCCACTTTTAAGACGTTGTTTATAACCTAACCTATCCTATTGATCAAACTTTTCACCATCTGCCCAGATGCCTCTTCATGCAGCTCACCATTAGCATCTATCTGACCATTGATGCTTCTCTCACACCTTGTGGGTGCTTTTACAATGACAAAGGTGCTACATAAATGCAGGTGGTTACTGTATGTTCCTGATCATCGCCATCCCGTTATCCTGCAGCAGCGGAGGGAGAAGATTGTTATTGTAACTGGTCCACCAGGGAAGACCTGTCATCATTTGCAGTGCACTGGGCAAGGGGTAGATTTATTTACTAATTTCCTGATTAGTGCCACAAGAGACGTGTTATTTTTTTTAAGAATACCCAGTACCCTGGGGCATTGCGTTGTTCTACATCCCATATCGGGAGGGTCTAAATGATGCTTCCAGGAGTCAAACTGTCATCATTTATGAGGTTATTTGAAACTTTGGATCTTGAAAGTGTCTGCTAATTGTTCCCTGGTAGCTATTACCTTGCACATATTAAATAATGGTATGGCTACTTGGTGAATCATGGTCGGTAACCAGGCCTGTAACATCCCTCTGTAAGTTATATACATTTGCGACATCATCACTCACACTAATGCTGAGCAGTCTCCTCCAGGGCTGCACCTTCTGACTTATTGCCCTAACCTAGGGGTAGTGCAGGGGACCAGCACCCAGGCTAACCATTCCCCACGTCTGATCCTAGTGAGACAGTACCAGTGGATTACTACAGCAAGCCCCAGGGGAGTGTGTCAGTATTTACAGGGAGAGCTGGAGGGGGGGAGTGTGTCAGTATTTACAGGGAGAGCTGGGGGGGGGTGGGGGGGGTCGGTATTTAAGGGGGAGCTTGGGGGTGGGTGTGTCAGTATTTACAGGGAGAGCTGGGGGGGGTGGAGTGTGTCAGTATTTACAGGGAACATGGGGGGTGCAGTGTGTCAGTATTAACAGGGAGAGCTGGGGGGGGTGGATTGTGTTAGTATTTACAGGGAACATGGGGGGGTAGTGTGTCAGTATTTACAGGGAGAGCTTGGGGGGGGGGTAGTGTGTCAGTATTTACAGGGAGAGCTGGGGGGGAAGTGTGTCAGTATTTACAGGGGCTCCTGGAATGGGAATTATGCTTATCAATGCCAGTGTTGTGCCATCTCCCAGGGAACGGTGCCTCCTGTAAATACTGACACACTTTCAGAGACTGCTTTGTTTACTGAAAGTCTTTCATATAAACATAGAACAACTCAAATATTGTGCCAGTCTGCAATTAAACCTTCTGGTGTCTGACAGTTACAGGGTCAGGATCACTATCCTGTTTGTATGCCTCTTGTTGCACTCCTGTTATTAGTGTTTTAACAACATAAATGTCAAAGTGTAGAAATAGAAAGGATGTTTCCTCTCTAGAATGAGAGGTCATAGTTTTAAGATAAGGAATAGCAGATTTAAAACAGAGATGAGGAGAAATTACTTCCCTCAAAGGTTGTGAATCTGGCGAATTCAGTCCCTCAGAGTGTGGTGGACACTGGGACACTGAGTAGGTCTAAGAATGAGCTGGACAGGTTTTAATTAATAAAGGGTTATGGGGAACAACCAGGAAAGTGGAATTGAGGCCAAGCTGAGATTAGCCCGTTATCATACTAAATGGTGGAGCAGGTTTGAGGGGCTGAATGCCCTATCCATGCTTCTAGTTCTTCTGTTCTAATGTTTTCTTGCTTGTGACTGTTTGATGTTTGAGGTGTGCTCCTCTTTTCCTGCAGGTGTTCACAGTATCAAGATTGCCCATAGGCAGAAGGTGAGTTGGTCCCCACTCTCTCCAATACACTCTGCTGGACCATGTTTAAACAACAAGAACCTAACCCCAGACCATCTTTGCCAGGGCTGTGTCCAGGCAGCTTGAGGCTAATTTTACTAAACAGGCATCGTCCTGAAAGTCAGCCCCACTTTATAGTGACACAGGTTGGTGATAAAGCTCAGCAGGTCCGACAGCATCTGTGGAGAGAAACCAGAGTCAACATTTCCAGTCCAGTGACCCTTCCTCAGAAGTGAAACGTTAACTCTGATTTCTCTCCGCAAATGCTGCCGGACCTGCTGAACTTTTCCACCAGTTTCTGTTTTTGTTTCTGATTTACAGCCTCCGCAGTTCTTTTGGATTTTTTTCTTTCGGTTCTCAATCCTGGTTTTCAAATCCCTTTCTGGTGTCGCATTGAAGCACCACACGCAAATCTTTACACACAGTGAGTGGTTTGTGTCTGGAATGCACTGCCTGGAGGTGTGGTGAGGGCAGAGTATATTGAGGCATGCTGGAGGGTGTTATTTAAACATGGAGAGAAAGCAGGGAAATGGCACCAAGTCAGGAAGTTCATTCGGAGAGCTGGTTCAGTCACAATTGCCAAAACGATTTTGATCTGATTTTCATTTTGATCTTATTGTCACGTGTACTCAAGTACGAAAGTACAGGAGTACAGTGAAAAGTGTATAATGTCACCACACAAGGCACCGTCATAGGTACAAGTACATAGGTACAGAATCTTAAGAACAAGGTAGAAAGAAAGAATAAAGTTAGGCACTGCAGTGATTATAGTATGGTATAAAACATACAAAATAAGGTTAGAAGTTACCCATTGCAGACCTTGTTAGGTTTAAGTAGAAAATGAAGAAATAAAGCAGAAACGTAGAAGATAGGACCAGGAGGCGGCCATTCAGCCCTTTGAGCCTGCTCCACCATTCTTCAGGATCATGGCTGATCATCCAACTCAAGAGCCTAATCCTGCTTTCTCCCCATAACCTTTGATCCCATTCGCCCCAAGTGCTATATCTAGTTGCCTCTTGAATACAATGAACGTTTTGGCATCAACTATTTCCTGTGGTAATGAATTCCACAGGCTCACCACTCTTTGGGTGAAGAAATGTCTCCTCATCTCCGTCCTAAATGGTCTACCTGAATCCTCAGGCTGTGACGCCCTGGTACTGGACACACCCACCATTGGGAACACCCTCCCTGCACCTACCCTGTCCAGTCCTGTTAGAATTTTGTCAGTCTCTATGAGATCCCCCCTTCATTCATCTGAACTCCAGTGAAAACAATCCCAACCCAGTCAATCTCTCCTCATAGAGACAACAAGGTGCAGGGCTGGGTGAACACAGCAGGCCAAGCAGCATCATAGGAGCAGAGAGGCTGACGTTTCGGGCCTAGACCCTTCATCAGAAAAGGGGGAGGGGAAGGGGGTTTTGAAATAAATAGGGAGAGAGTGGGAGGCGGATAGAAGAGGGATAGAGGAGAGGATAGGTGGAGAGGAAACAAACAGGTCGAAGAGGCGGGGATGGGGCCAGGAAAGGTGAGTGTAGCTACTATCTCTCTCAATCTCTCCTCATACATCAGACCCACCATCCCCGGAATCAGCCTGGATTGAACAATACGGTCGTTCCTAAGTGCCTTCTTATGTGCCATAACATTTCTGTAACACTGTGTGATCCGATGGCGCAGTTTCCCATTGCAGAGTAGTCGGAGCTCCCTGTATTAGGGAGCAGAGTACACTCAGGCCAGGCAGGTTAAATCTCCCTCTTGCCTAGCCTTTATAAAGATTGCTGATGTGGGAGAGGGGTTTGGGACTGAGACCAAGTTCACTGAGACAGAACCATTCCTGTAGAAACATTGTCCCCTGGTGATTGGATGATGAATGACAGGCTCAAGGTTCAATTTGATTCTGATTGTACGGGCCCATGGGGGTCGAATCCTCCCCCCAGCCTGGGACATCCCATTGCAATACAACCAGTGGACAAGTTAGGATGTGGATTGCTGAATGCTGTATGACTCTATGATAGGTCATTTAGGACAGAGATGAGGAGAAATGTCTTCACCCAGAGAGTGGTGAGCCTCTGGAATTCTCGGCCACAGAAAGCAGTTGAGGCCAAAACATCAAACATTTTCAAGGTGGAGTTAGATGTAGTGCTTAGCGTTAAAGGGGGCATGGGGAGAAAGCAGGAACTGAGTTGGATGATCAGCCATGATGGAGCAGTTTCGAAGGGCTGAGTGGCCTTCTCCTGCTCCCTGTTTTCTATGTTGTGTCTGATTGAGCAGCACCTACCCGCTGTGGGGACAGCTGAGGCCCTGGAACCGGCAGCCTCCCTTAATAGGACAGCCAGCCCAGACCCCCAAATTAGGAAGCTGCCTCCTGGCACCCCCAAGCAAGCACAGGGTCCCACAGTCCACAGGGGAAAGCCGCAGCCTGAAACCTTACAACACAGGCTGGGCCAAAAAGAAACACTCTCTGGAGCATAGCCACTGTTGTAAAACACAACAGTTACTTCTAGCAGCAAAGTGGGAATGTGGAGACTCTAAGCATGGATTCAGAGGTTACACTTCTTCTTTAGTCATTAACAAGGGAATTGCTGGCTAGTATGACACTTGTGTCTGTTCCTAATTACCTTTGAGAAGATGGTGGACAGCCACTTCCTCGGATACAAACAAGTGGCCTCTCGGCTATTTCAGAGGGCAGGTAAGAATCAGCCACTTTGTTGTGGGTATGGAGTCACGTGTAGACCACACTGGGTAAGGTCGGTTAGTTTCCTTCCTTAAAGGGCTTTGGTGAACCAGTTGAATTCTTATGATAATCCAGAGGTTCCTCGCTTTTTTAGTCACTGCAGATATATTTAGATCATCGAATTTAAATGCCCCAGCTACCGCGGTAGGATTTGAGGCTTTGTGTCCAGAGACATGAGCCCAGTAACATAAGCACTGTGACACTGTGCCCATCCTTCTGAAAACAACAATGTCTTTTCTTGACAGAAGTACTTCATCATAATGCAGAGTGTCTTTTACCCTGATGAGAGAATTGTTGCCAGGTATGTATGTCACCGTTTGCGAATGGTTCTTTGAAGTCCAATCAGTTGAGTATTGGATGGGTTTCCACCAATGGGGTTTGTTTGTGTGTAAACTTCAATCTGGGGTCTGTCCTCATGTTGAAAAGGACTAAAGTGCGCAGCTGGCTGGTGTAAAGGTGGTTACCAGAATGTTAATGTCATAATCTGTCAGACAGCTCGTCCCCAAGGGGGGAATCTTATCAAGCGGGAAACTTATAGAGACGGGGTAAACACAGGAAGGATGTTCCTGATGGCCAGGGAGTCCAGGACCAGGGGTAACAGTTTAAGGATGCAGGTGCCAGAGGAAGTGGTAGATAGAGGTACAGTTATAACATTTAAAAGACATTTGGACAGGTACATGGATAGGGAAGGTTTAGAAGGATATAGGCAAGTGAGTTTGGGAAACCTGGTTGGAATGGACAAGTTGGACCGAAGGGTCTGTTTCCGTGCTGTATGACTCTATCCTGGGTCATTTGGGACTGAGATGAGGAGAAATGTCTTCGCCCAGAGAGTGGTGAGCCTATCACAGAAAACAGTTGAGGCCAAACCATGAAATGTTTTCAAGAAAGAGTGAGAAAGAGTTCTTGGAGCTAAAGGGATCAAAGACTTTGGGGAGAAAGCGGGAACTGAGTTGGATGATGTTAGTGAATAGTGGAGCTGGCTCGAAGGGCCGAATGGCCTACTGCTGTTTCTGTTTTCTCTGTTTCCATGTTTCTATTCTTCCGCCATTCTCCAAACCAAGAGAGTTACCAAACTTTAGATTCTCCATCTGCACTGACGTAAAGTATTAGAATCCCATTGACTTCTCATTAATGGCTTTTTCAACTTGAGTTGTTGTCTTTTAATTTCCCTTGCTCCGTGCCCTATCACCCTTCCATAGCCAGAGCCCCCAGGTGAGACAGAAAACACCCTGGTCAGGATTATTATTGCTTTCTCCAGGTATGACATCAAGGGCTGTCAGGTGAGTCGATGGACAGAGCCTGCTCCTGAGGGGAGCAATGTCATCGTGGTGCTCAAAGACTTGAATTTCGAGGGAAGCACCATCAGCTTGGGTAAGGATCCATCATATCCTGCTTCCGATCACAGCTTCCTTCACTCCTGTAGAACCAGAAGGATACCATTCGGCCCAGTGTGCCTGTGCTAGCCCTCCGAATGAGCATCTCACTGAGGGCCATTCTCCTCCGGAATATGGCACATAGTGAGTTGCTCATTTGGATAGCCAGTGCATGTAATAGGCTCCCGCGTTGTAAAGCTTTCTGTGGTCTGGTGATTGTAAGCTCCCATGCCTTTGATGTGGGTTTTAGCTCCTATTTCTGAAATTGAGAACATTGGGATATGATGCTGTGCTGTCCCACTGAGTAAGATGGGAGTCTGCTGTTAAAGATGAGACTGGTCTATAACGCCCTACGTATCTAATGGTATAATGACCAGATGCTGAAGTGCACCAGCCATATAACTAGTGGTTGGGAGTTCTGTGGTGAGTGGCTCACTTCCTAACAACCCTCCACTTTACCCCCACCCCCAGCCAACATCGACAAGGCACAAGTGAGGAGTATGATGGAATAATCTTCACTTGCCTGGGTGAGTTCAGCTCCAACAATTCTGGGCACCATGCAGGACCAAACAGGTCCGCTCAATTGGCACCACATCCACCACTTTAATGTTAAATCCCTCTACCACCGACACTCAGTAGCAGCAATGTATCATCAACAAGATGAACTGCAGAAATTCACCAAGGTTCCTCAGACAGTACCTTCCAAACCCACAAGCACTTCCATCTAGAAAGACAAGGGCAGCAGATGGATGGGACCACTAGCCCCCCACACCACCCCCCCACCCCGCAACTTTCCTTCCAAGCCACTCACCATCCTGACTCGAAAACATATCGCCGTTCCCTCAGTGTCGCTGGGTCAAAATCCTGGAATTCCCTCCCTGAGGGCATTGTGGGTCAACCCACCACAGGAGGACTGCAGCGGCTCACCCCCACCTTCTCAAGGGGCAATTAGGGATGGGTAATAAAGGCAGCAACAGGCACATCCCATGAGTGAATCATAAAAGAAACAATGCCCTTTATGCTGCTGGTCAGTTTCTGAAGCTATGAGTGTCGGTGCAGTATTGGTATTGTTAAATTTTCTTCCTGCACTGTTCTGGATTCTCGATGCATTCTGTTGCAGATCAGCAGCGGTCCTGGCTCATTCGGCAGATGACCGTTGATACAGAGTATTTGAAAAGCCTCAACGTCCTGGACTACAGCCTCCTGGTGGCCCATCAGCCCCTGCACCTCGATGAGCGCCGCCAAAGCTGGTCCTTTGCAAATATCATTCTCCGTACAAAGAAGTAAGCAGATAATCCAGAGCTGGCCCATTCCTGGGGAACGGTCCCTTCCATCTCCTAATCATAGCATCTCTGCAGTGTGGAAACAGGTCATTCAGCCTATTGAGTCCACACTGACCCTCTGAAGAGCATCCCACCTAGACCCACCCACCCCACTACCCTAGAAACCCTGCATTTTCCATATAATCCACCCTAGCCTGCACATCTTTGGATTGTGGGAGGAAACCGGAGCACCCGGAGGGAAACCCACGCAGACACAGGGAGAATGTGCAAACTCCACACAGACAGTCGCCCGAGGGTGGAATTGAACCTGGGTCCTTGGCGCTGTGAGGCAGCAGTGCTAACCACTGAGCTGCTGTGCCACCCACTAATCAAAGTATCCATTAGCGGCTTTCAGCACCATGGCAAAGTCTTCCTGCTCAGAGAATCGCTCTCTTTTTCTCAATTGGCGATTGTGAGTTCTATTTTATTCATTCACGGGATGAGGGCGTCACTGGCTCGGCAGCAATTATTGCCCCATCCCTAATTGCCCAGAGGGCAGTTGAGTCAACCACACTGTTGTGGGTCTGGAGTCACATGTAGGCCTGACCAGGTAAGGCTGGATGTTGCAGGTTACAGAGGGACATAGATAAGCTGCAGAGCTGGGCTGAGAGGTGGCAAATGGAGTTTAATGCGGAAAAGTGTGAGGTGATTCACTTTGGAAGGAGTAACAGGAATACAGAGTACTGGGCTAATGGTAAGATTCTTGGTAGTGTGGATGAGCAGAGAGATCTCGGTGTCCATGTGCATAGATCACTGAAAGTTGCCACCCAGGTTGATAGCGTTGTTAAGAAGGCGTACGGTGTGTTAGGTTTTATTGGTAGAGGGATTGAGTTTCGGAGCCATGAGGTCATGTTGCAGCTGTACAAAACTCTGGTGCGGCCGCACTTGGAGTATTGCGTACAGTTCTGGTCACCGCATTATAGGAAGGATGTGGAAGCATTGGAAAGGGTGCAGAGGAGATTTACCAGGATGTTGCCTGGTATGGAGGGAAGGTCTTATGAGGAAAGGCTGAGGGTCTTGAGGTTGTTTTCGTCAGAGAGAAGAAGGTTAAGAGGTGACTTGATAGAGACATACAAGATGATCAGAGGATTAGATAGGGTGGACAGTGGGAGCCTTTTTCCTCGGATGGTGATGGCTAGCACGAGGGGACATAGCTTTAAATTGAGGGGTGATAGATATAGGACAGATGTCACAGGTAGGTTCTTTACTCAAAGAGTAGTAAGGGCGTGGAAGGCCCTGCCTGCAAAAATAGTAGACTCGCCAACTTTAAGGGCATTTAAATGGTCATTGGATAAACATATGGATGATAATGGAATAGTTTAGGTTAGATGGGCTTCAGATTGGTGCAACATTGAGAGCTGAAGGGCCTGTACTGTTCTATGTTCCCTAAAGGACATTAGTGAACCAGATGAGCTTTTCCCACAATCAACAATGGATTCATGGTCATCATTAGATTCTTAACTCCACATATTTATTAAATCCACATTCCACCATCTGTTGTGGTGAGATTTGAACAGGGGTCCCCAGGAATGTTATCTGAGTCTCTGGATTAACAGTCCAGCAATAAGACCACTAGGCCATCGCCTCCCCTCCCTGGACCACTCCAGGGTCTTGAGCACAGATTCCAGGATTTCAGTCTGGTGCAGTGCCAAGGAGATACTGCACTGTCAGAGGACACTGTCATGTGGATGAGACATTGAACTGAGTGCCCTGTCTGTCCTATTTGGGCATGAAATGTCCCATGGCTACCATCTTGAAGACAAAGATAGGTGAAGTTGTGGATGGTGAGGAGGATTGTCCGAGGACACAGCAGGATATAGATCAGTTGGAGGCATGGGCAGAAAAATGACAGATGGAGTTTAATCCGGACAAATGTGAGGGGATGCATTTTGGAAGGTCATGTACAGGTGGAAATTATACAGTGAATGGCAGAACCCTGAGCAGTATTAATATGCAGAGGGATCTGGGTATGCAGGTCCACAGATCACTTAACGTAGCAGTGCAAGTAGATAATGTAGCAAAAAAGGCCTATTTGCTTGGGAACCCTGCAACCCAATGGTATCAATGTGGACTTCACAAGCTTCAAAATCTCCCCACCCCCAACCACATCCCAAAACCAGCCCAGCTCGTCCCTGCCTCCCTAACCTGTCCGTCCTTTCTCCACCTATCCCCTCCTCCCACCTCAAGCCCCATCCCCATCTCCTACCTACCAGCCTCATCCCCGCGTCCTTGGCCTGTCCGTCCTCCCTGGACTGACCTATCCCCTCCCTACCTCCCCACCTACACTCACCTTTACTGGCTCCATCCCCGCCTCCTTGACCTGTCCGTCTCCTCTCCCCCTATCTGCTCCTTTATCCATCTTCCATCCGCCTCCCCCTCTCTCTCTATTTATTTCAGAACCCCCTTCCTCTCCCCCATTTCTGAAGAAGGGTCCAGACCCAAAACGTCAGCTTTCCTGCTCCTCTGATGCTGCTTGGCCTGCTGTGTTCATCCAGCTCTACACCTTGTTATCAATGAAATATTTGCCTTCATTGGAAGGGGCATTGAGTATAAGGATAGGCAAGTTATGTTGCAGCTTTATAGAACTTTAGTTAGGCCACACTTGGAATATTGTGTACAGTTCTGGTCATCACACAACCAAAAGGGTGTGGATGATTTGGAGAGGGTACGGAAAAGGTTTACCAGGATGTTGCCTGGAATGGGGGATTTTAGCTTTGAAGAAAGGTTGGATAGACAGGGTTTGTTTTCACTGGAACGCAGTAAGTTGAGGGGTGACCTGATAGATGTGAATGGCATGGTTAGAGTGGAAAGTATGAGGCTTTTCCAAGGGTGGAGGGGTCAGTTACTAGGGGACACAGGTTCGAGGTGCAAGGGACGAAGTTTAAAAGAAATGCATGAGGCATGTTTTTCACACAAAGGGTGGTGAGTGCCTGGAACATGCTGCCAGAGGAGGTGGTGGAAGCAGACACAATAGCAGCATACAAGAAACACCTGGACAAATACATGAGTAGGAAGGGAATAGAGGGATACGGATCCTGTAAGTGAAGTCAGTTTTAGTACGGAAGGGCAGAATGTGTCGGCGCAGGTTTGGAGGGCCGAAGGGCCTGTTCCTGTGCTGTATTGTTCTTTATTCTTTGAACAAGAGTTTCTCTGACATATTCTGGGTTCAATTCATTATTTATTTAGTGCTTACAAGTCTCCAGAGCTGAGACCTTGCCTCTTTTGTTGAGTTTAAGGTGATTGGTCCATTGCTGAGTCTGTAGAGGGGACACTCCTCAGTAACGTACAGACGGCATTGCTTCTGCCTCTGTGTAAGTGCCTGGGGGGTTTGTACCCAAGGCCTCAGTGGTGATGTCTGACAGTGCAGGGTCCCCAGGACCATGTTCATCATAATTGTTTGCAGCCTGTCTTTTGACGCAAGGAACATGTGATTGACTTCCTGCATTCCTTGCTGCCATGAATGGTTATTGGTGGATCTCACTGAGGAAGGTTACCCTAAATGTAAACACTGACACATTAGCACTAAGCACTCCTTCCCTCACCATTAGCCCAATGCTGTCTGCCAATTGGCCACATTGCCCTGCATCACAGGGTATGTTGTGAACGGTGTGTTGACCTTTATAGTGAGACGATTTAAGTACAGGATCAGCTGTGTTTTGTTGCAATTATATGGGGCCTTTGTGACCGCGCCTGGAATATTGTATGCAGTTCTGGTCTCCTTTTCTGAGAAAAGATGTACTGACGACAGAGGGAGTGCAACAATGGTTTATCAGACCAATTCCTGGGATAGCAGGACTGATGTCTGAAGGCAAACTGTATCGGTTAAGATTATACTCACTGGAGTTTAGAAGAATGAAGGGGAAATCTCATAGAAACCTATAAAGTTCTAACAGGACTTAATGAAGGAGATATAGGAAGGATGTTCCCAAAGAGCAGGGAATCCAGGACCAGGGCCTATAGTTTAAGAATTTGGGGTAGGCCATTTAAGAGTGAGATAAGGAGAAATGTCTTCACCCAGAGAGTGGTGAGCCTGTGGAATTCTCTGCCATAGAAAACAGTTGAGGCAAAAACATTGAATGTTTTCAAGAAGGAGTTAGATATCGTTCTTAGGGATAAAGGGATCAAAGGGTCTGTGCAGAAAATGGGAACGAGGTACTGAGCTGGAAGATCAGCCGGAAGGGCCGAATGGCCTACTCCTGCTCCTGTTTTCTATGAGTTCGACCTCGTCAGAGTGCCTGATGTGCATGGGAGGTCTTGAGGTGGTAAAAGGCTCCATGTAAATGCAGGTCTTTCCTCTCTCTCTCTCTCACTCCCTCTCTCGCAGATCGATGACAGGTAGTGCCAGCCCCTCAGCCTTGGTGGGTAGTCCAGCACCGGGCCTGCTGGAGGAGGATGCAACAGTGCTCGTGGCGGAAATGGTGAGTGGGACGAACGAGACCCACATCAAGGAGATCCCTGAGGTCACTGTGACCGCGAGGGACAGTAGCAGCGGCTCGGAGCTTGACCTGGCAGACCCGACTGCTCAGAACCGCAGGCTGCTACCCAACTTCCGGAACTCTCTGCACGTCATCGATGGGGCCCAGTCCCGCTACTTTGTGGGCATCATCGACATCTTCACTGTCTACGGCTTCCGCAAGAAGCTGGAACACCTTTGGAAATCCATCCGTTACCGGGGCCAGTCCTTCTCAACCGTCAGCCCCGACAAATATGCAAAGCGACTGTGCCAGTGGGTAGATGACCACACAGTGTAGAGTGCCAGTTCAGGAGTGGGGTGGGGGAGAGGGGGTGGGCGGCACGGGAGGTGTTGGGGGGAGTGGTGGGGGAGGGGGAGAGGGATCGGAAGAGGAGGGCGTTGGGGAGGGCGGGCTTTGCCCCCAGCCCGACCCCCCCAGTCCCGTGCCCGAGCGCAGTCAGTGCCTTGTCGGAAGGTGCTGAAATCGAGGAAGGGAAAGGGCGATGCTGCAGGCGCTACACTGAGCTACATGCTCCCAGTTCTGGTGACTGGTGTGGAGCAGAGATAGCAGTAGGCACGGGCTCTGTCCGTCACTCTCTGACAAACCCTGGCACTAGTGCTAGCTTTGGGAGATATCCACGTCCCCCACAAATGCATGGGGAAGCCCCCGGCCTTTGCATGATCCTGCCGTCTGCCTTACTCAATGGGGGGCACCGCTGAGCATTACTGCCGAGCTGTAGCCGAGTATAAAACCTAATCACTGCTCCGCAACATGTATAAAGACGGGTTTCATTTTTTTATTGCTGTACATAATCAGGAAAGCCAGAGTTACACCCGTCAACTCTCTCCACACACAACCCCAATCCCCCAAACCTCCCCACGTCTTGTTCAATAGCAACATTTTGGCTTTCAAAAGATTAACTCTGTAGCTGCCGATCCTGTACCTCCTTCCCACCATCTCGAAGGGGTGGGTCGGGAGAAAGGATTTGCGTCTCAGAGAGGGGCACGGCGGTAGAGTCCGTACCTCTGGGCCACGAGGCCTGGGTTCGAGTCCGACTTGTCCCAGAGGTGCGCAGCAACATCTCTGAGCAGGTCGTTTAGGAAAATACCACAAAGGATCTCAGCCCCTTCATTGATGCTCCGAACGACCAGGGCAGAGTTAGTAAAACTGAGCCCACTTCCAGGGCCAGTGAGGAGAGTCTGTGAGGGAATGGGATCTGGGCCAAGGGTTTTTCTTTTGCACAGTTGATTGTAAACCTCATTCATAGACATGTCTGTGTCACATGATGCCAAAGCGACAACTATTTACTCGTTACATTGGGGTTCTCATTCACCTCGGTAACCAGCACAGACGTTGAACCTGAGCTGGGCTCTCTGCTTTAACACTCAAAACATATCAATCTGCATCCACACCAGTTGGCAAGTCAGAAACTAAGGCGCCTCCCTGTGTAGGTACAGTTTATTAACTACTCAGTCTTACAGCTCTTTCCACACCCCAGTCCCATTACAAGCAGAGCCAGGAGGGAAGTATTTTACTAAACCATTTACGATGATCTGGGATGTGCTGTGTGACAGGGCAGTGAAAGTAGATTCAGTAACTTTCAGAACAGAACTGAGAAAATGCTTAAAAAGAAAAAGTCTGCAGAGCTTTGGGGAAAGTGCAGGGAATAATTGGAGACCTCTTTCAGAAAGGCAGCATAGGCACAATGGGCTGAGCGGCCTCCACCTGGGATGGGAGATTCTACGTTTTTAGACAGTTTAGTTAAAAGATAGATCTGAGCAGCAACTGTCAGCCGTAGATAGGAGCTGCAAGGACTCACTGACATTGGCCTTGTTTACACTTGTTACTGCTTTAACTTTAGTAACAGAGTCCAATAAATAAGCTCACCTTGGATTAGAGAGAGGGGGTGCCCTGGAGGATACTAGTAGCGCCTTTGGCTGGGAGCCAGTTCGCAAAGGGATTGGTGAAGGGGTTTGAACATTGTACTCAATCAGGTGTCCGCTACCAGAGTGTACTGCCAGTGTGTATTTTCCTGTGGTCCCCACCATTCACTCAATGTGTCTGGTCCCTGTGAGTTTAATGCAGTCTCAGTGATGGGGAGGGTGGGGGGTAACCACATTGAGAATTTCATTGGCTACTGGGGAGTTTCGATTGAGTGGGTCACTCCCTCAGTCCCTGGGCTGCATGAAGCAGATCCAATACTCGCCGACTGCTACAAGTCTAGCTCCATGTTTGGGAAGCCAAATGAATGCTGATTTGAATAAAACACAAAACTGTGGAGGCTGGAGATCTGAAACAAAAGCGGAAGTTGCTGGAGAAACTCAGCAGGTCTGGCAGCATCTGTGGAGAGTGAAACAGAGTTAATGTTTCAAGTTCCGTTCTGATGGAGAGTCACCGGACTTGAAACGTTAGCTGTGCTTTCTCTGCACAGATGCTGCCAGACCTGCCAAATTTGTCCAGCAATGTTTGTTGGAGATCAGGACTCTCCCACCAACTTGGCGAGTAGAGTATAGGACTGACTGGTTATTACCCAGAGAGCTGGCAGAGCCTTGATGGGCCAAATGGCTTCCTTTGGTGCTCTAACAACTCGATGACTCTATAGGGAGGTGCTTGATACTGTAACTTGTGACTTATATTGCATCCCCACAGAACCACATGAAGTCCCTTTGGATCCTACTGCACCCCAGTGGGAGCACCATGTTTACCAGGCTCCAGTAGGATTCCATAGTTTGTCACAACAACCATAAGACTTGTCATGTTTCCTTTTTTCAACCATGTAATATATCTTCATTCAACTTTAGAACATGTAATAATCCACAGGCCAAGTGTAGGGTAAAGTGCCAATTTGGCTCAATCAGTAGCACTCTTAACTCTGGCCCAGGGAATTGTGGGCTCAGAATGTGAGGATTTAATGCATTTGTAAAATATGAACAAGAAGACTCAGGCATCATTATAATGAATTCACACTGTGCAAATAACTGATTTAATAAATTGTACAGTATTTGAAAATGTAAATGCAAAATCTGATGAATTAAATAGATTTTTTTCCCACTCCTGTTCTGGCATTTTGCAGTCAATCTGATCTAAAGAGGGATAGGCTTGCATTTATTGAACACTCTTCACTGCCTTGGTGTCAGTCTGGATTCATGTCAGTCTATGAGACAGAAATCAAAACACCTTCCTTTGTGACCAGAGTTTATTAACTACTCAGTCTTAGAGTTCCTTCCACTCACAGTGGGACAGGTACTCCTCTATCTATGGGTGGTTTCCTGACCAACCTGTTATGACACACCCTGGAGCAGGTGGGACATGAACCCAGGCCTCCTGGCTCAGAAGTTGGGACACTACCACTGCACCACAAGAGCCCGTTTATCTATAATTGGTGCTGAGACAATTAATACCACCACCTCTTCCTCCTGAACCTTGAGTAGAAACATGAACAAGCTTAACAATATGGTTAACCAGATATTAATACTCAGAACAATGCCAGGTATTTCACAGCCAATGTACACTCTTGTGATGTAGAAAATATATCAGCCAATTTGTGCATAGATCACTCCCACAAATTGGGATGTGGTGATGAGCAGGTAATGTGTTTTTGGGGTGTCGATTAAGGGATATTGAATATTGACCAGGACAACAGAAAGAACCACATGTGCTGACCTTCAAAATCAGGTCCATGGGATATTTGACACCCACCTGAGCAAATCTTCTATATCACACATGGTGCTGTGCATTAAGAACCACCTGAGACTGAGGGCACTTAGAGTCATAGAGTCATCCAGCACAGAAACAGAACCTTCGGTCCATCCCGAACATAATCCCAAACTAAACTAGCCCCACCTGCCTGCTCCTGGCCCATATCCCTCCAAACCTTTTCTATTCATGTACTTATCCAAATGTCTTCTGTAATTGTGCTCACATCCACCACGTCCTCAGAAAGTTCATTCCACATGTGAACCACCCTCTGTGTAAAAAAAAATTGCCTCTTAAATCTTTTTAAAATCTCTCTCCTCTCATCTTAAAAATGTGTCCCCTAGTCTTGAAATCCCCCATCCCAGGGAAAAGACCATTAACCCTATCTATACCCCTCATTATTTTATAAACTTCTTTCCGATTGCCTCTCAACCTCCTACACTCCAGTGAAAAAAGTCCCAGCCTTTCTTTATAACTCAAACCTTCCATAAGCAATTCATCACAATCAGGAGACTGATATTAATGCACCAAAATATCTGGAAGAAATTAATATCCGATGCTCCCAACTGGATGGCCTGGTATCCATCCCTGTTGTGCCTCAGCTCATTGGCTGCTAAAACCCTCATCCGTGCCTTTGAAATCTCTAAATTCGACTTCTTTCAAATCTTCTCTGAACCTTCTCCTCTCTGGGGGAATCAGTCCCAATTTCTCTAATCTAGAGAATCCCTACAGTGTGGAAACAGGCCCTTTGGCCCAACAAGTCCACACCGACCCTCCAAGCATCCCACCCAGACCCATCCCCCCTATAACCCATCTAATCTACACATCCCTCAACACTACGGGCACTATCTCACGGGCATCTATCCTCATGACTGCCTGGAACTATAGTTGTAAATTGCTTCTGCACTCTCTCCAAGATGTTCACATTCTTTCTATGGTATGATAGCCAGATTTGTGCACAATACTTCAGCTGAGGTTGAACCAGTTTCTTACACAAGTTCATCATAACCTCCCTCCATTTACTGTATGCTTTAGTAGCAGCTATCTCTACCTGTTCTGTTAGTTTTAATGATCTATGTACATTTTTCATATACAGGTTTCTCTGATCCTGCACACCCTGTAGGATATTACTCTTCATTTTATTCTGTCTCCCCTTCTCCTTTGTACCATATAACCATGAGATATCGGAGGAGAATTAGGCCATTTAGCCCTATACGTCTGCTCTGCCACATGTTTCTCAATCCTATTCTCTTGCCTTCTCCATGTAACCCTTGATCCCCTTACTAATCAAGAAGCCATCTATCTCTGTCTTAATGACATTCAATGATTTGGCCTCCACAGCCTTTGGTAGCAATGAGTTCCACAGATTAACCACTGAAGACATTCCTCCTCATCTCAGTTCTAAAGGGTCATCCCTTTACTCTGAGGCTGTGCCCCTGGGTCCTAGTGTCTCCTGTTGGTGGAAACATCTCCACATCCACACTATCCAATCCTCTCAGTATTCGGTAAGTTTCAATCAGACCTCCCCCTCATCCTCCTAAACTGCATCGAGTACAGACCCAGAGACCTTAACTGCTCCTCATGTAACAAGCCCTTCATCC